GCTTTAATTAAATTATTAATTTAAATCATAGTTAGAACGGATTAATTAAATAATGGTTAGATCGAATAAATTAAAAGAACGACTTATTATATATTTTTGTATATTTTAATCTTTGGATTTTAAATTGATAGATGTATGTGTTGTATTTATTTTTAGAATCAATTGATATGCTTGATTCATGACCCAAGACGGTTTAATTGGGGTTTCTATAATTTCTGGAATTTTCTGAGATGTTCTAGAATTTTCTGGTATTTTTTTAGGAATTTATTAGATGTTATATATATATATATAACTTACGCACAGAATGCAATGTCTGTATAATCGGCGCAACATTAAGGTTGAAATCTGTTGTAGGTCGGTGCATAGTAATTTGGTACACATGCTAATCTGGGCATTGGATTATTTAATCTTATTTGGATTGATCCGGTGCATTGTGGTGCATGGAATGATGGTACACATGCCAATCAGGACCATTAGATTAGTATAAGATTCAGTAGAATGATCTGGTGCTTCATGGCTATGTAATTATGGTGCGCATGGGAATCAGAACCGTGGACGGTGTTTGGTCATAGGTGGATTGATCTAGTGTAGCGCAGAACATGGAGAATTGGTGTGCTCACTGATCTGGAGTACTAATGTAGGAGAAATAATCTGGTGTGGTTGAGCTCACAATAGTGTTTGAGCTCAGCCAATTATTTTGCCTGTTTGTGATATAAAATTAAAACGGTCGTAACTCAGTCATCTTAAATCGAAATTAGGTCATTCTAGAGCTCAAAGTCAAAGATTTTTCGTCCTCTTTCTGATGGTACCAATTTCATTATCAGATTCCTGTCATACTAGGAGATATTTATATTTTAGTGAAACGGTGTCGAAAAAAATTATTTACAGAGAAGGAGTATTTATGGGAAACTATTTCTAACGAGATTTAGTAACATTTAAATTGGGTACATATAATTAAATTAATATATTGTTGTGGAAGGAATTATATATATATATATATATATATATATATATATAATTATTTATATATGTATATATACAATTATTTATATATGTATATATATGGTTTAGTTGTTTAGGATAAGGATTGAGGGATGTGTGTGTATATATATATATATATTGATATATATGTATATATATATGATTTAAATAATCCAAGATTATTATGGATGGTATTATACATATTTATATATTATATAATATAAATGTATGTATATATATTTATCATTTAAGATGATTAATATAAATTATTCTTATTTAGTATATCTGGATAGGCTGGTTATTAAAGTAATGTTATGCTTATGAAATGCATGAGATGTCTATGTATGAATTAGTTCATCGTTAAGTTTAGAGTTGGTACATGGTTGAATTGTAGGTATGGATGAGTTGCCAAAGGCTTAAATAGATGGGTTAAATATTTGTATGAATAAAACACATACATAGGAAGTATGGATGAGTTGCTAATTAAAAATATAAATATATATACTAAAGGAGGCATGGTTGAGTTGCTAATATATAAATAAATATATTTATAATGTCATGGTTGATTTGCCAAAGTGTAATTATATTGCTGTGTGTCAGATGATTAAAAGATCATCTATAGTTATTGTATGTATAGGTTGGATTAGGATTAGATATTCTTAAATTAGAATAGTCTAGTACTTACAGGTTAGTGTATTATTTTATGCATATTAATAAAATAATACTGGTGGAGATATGGATAATCTGTCAAAGCTTAGATTTTGGAGATGTGATTTAAATAATTAAAATCATTATTGGATTTTCGGATTAAATATAATATTCTTTTTATTATAATTTATTGTTTAAATGATTAAACAACTGACTAAGATGTGATTAAGGTTAAATGAGTTTCTTTTTAAAATAAATGGTAGATTGGTCTAGGAATGATTATTATTTTAATAATTATTTAATAGGTTTGGAAATTTAATAAACCTATTAATGGATGTGATTAGTATAGTATATATAATTATATATAGATATGTATATCATGCTTTATTAAAGTTAAAACTTTATTGGGTTTGGTTTTGATCAGAGATGATTTGCTTATTGGTTTTCAGAGGCCTGGTAGAGTGAACTTGCTCGTAGGGTTTAGCCCGCGATTTATTTTTTTTCAAGTTATTAGAAGTTCCAAGTCTTAAGATTGAGGATCTGCAGCTGGGGGACTAATCATTTCTTTCTATTTTATTTCAAAGTAGGATATTACTACTTCAGTATGTAGTGGTGAATTTCTGGATAGTGGAGTTTGGTTAAGGGGTCCTTGAGTTACGGGATTCCCGAACTGTAACCATTCGAGAGTTATTAATGGATTTAGTATTTAATAGATTTTCCTTCAGCGAGTTATTTATTCTTTTTATTTTCTATTTGTAATCTGTGCTTGTTTAAATACTTAAATTATTTTGATTTTTCTTAATTTTGTGCGCGGATTTGATCAACCCGTGTTTCGAAATTAGGGGGTATGACATGTAAAAAGTTATAAACATCAGTACCATTGAGATATAGAAGTGAACAAATTAGTCACAAATCTTTTATTTTTTTTATTGAGATATAGATGTAAAAAGTCAAGCACTTTTTGCTTACACAAATGACAAAACTTTAACTTTTATGGACTAAACTCAAAAATGGACCAATCACTCAATCAGTAGACTAATTCAAAATGAATAGGCACAATGAGATACACAAAATCAGTTAAAATTCCTACACGGAGTCAATTACAGAGTCAAATTCAAAGAAATAAGGACCATAAGGTGATTTGTAGTGACAGATTCAAAGAAATAATGTGTGCTCAGTACTTGGTCAATTGACAATTACAGAGTCAGAGAGAGAAAATGAGTACGAAATAGATAAAATAAGGATTCTGAGGAGTGAGGACTGTAACTATTAGCCGACCACCGACGGTGATGCAAATAGTTTGTGTGTGAAGAACAGAGGGTTAGGGCAAGAGGCAAGAGCAGAGCCGCGGAGTGAGGGGGAAAGGAAATTTTGGTTGTGCACCTTAATTTGCAGGCTGAATGTTTTGGGGGTGGGGGGGCCAAGTGTAGTAACAAATTTTTTTTTATTTTAATTTTATATGTTTACTAATAAAAAAATTAAAAAAAAATTCGGTAGGGCCTGCCCCTGCTGGCCCACCCCTCCCTCCGCCCCTGGGTTAGGGCAAGAGGCAAGGGCGGAGCCGCAGAGGGAAGGGGAAAGGAAATTTTAGTTGTGCTCCTTAATTTGCGGGCTGAATGTTTTGGGGGTGGGGGCCAGAGTGTAGTGAAATAATTTTTTATTTTATTTTATTTTATATGTATACTAACATAAAAAATAAAAAAAATTGGGGGGGCTTGGCCCTTGCTGGCCTACCCCTCCTTCCGCCCCTGCCCTAACCCTCTGTTCTTCACACATAAACTATTTGCATCACCGTGTGCGGTCGATTAGTAGTTGCAGTCCTCACTCCTCAGAATCCTTATTTTATCTATTTCGTACTCATTTTCTCTCTTTGACTCTATAATTGTCAATTGACCAGGTACTGAGCACACCTTATTTCTTTGAATCTGTCTCTACAAGTCACCTTATTGTCCTTATTTCTTTGAATTTGACTCTGTAACTGACTCTGTGTTGGAATTTTAACTGATTTTGTGTATCTAATTGTACCTGTTCATTTTGAATTAGTCTACTGATTGAGTGATTGGTCCATTTTTTAGACTAGTTCATAGAAGTTAAAGTTTTGTCATTTGTGTTAGCAAAAAGTGCTTGACTTTTTACATCTATATCTCAATAAAAAAATAAAATATTTGTGGCTAATTTGTTCACTTCTATATCTCAATGGTATTGATGTTTATAACTTTTTACATCTCAGGAGCAGAACTGCATAATATTCCGAGGGAAACTATCACGAAGGCTCTGAAAATCTTAATTGGTACACACTTTTTTCTTCTAAAACTTATCTTTTCCTATTTTTTCTAGAATTCACACGAAATTAGTCATGTAAGTGTTGCTATATATACAAATTCTAAGCTCACTTCACAGGCGCACAATTTATTGTTTAAACACTTATTTTTTAGACACTACATAGGCGCACAATTGTGGGTGATAACTTTTTGATATTTTAAATTAGTTGTTTTATATGCATTGAGGGTACAATATTATTTTTACTCAATTATGCTTATTAGGAATTTAGGATCGTTGGTTTAAATTACAATGTAAAACCTTAGGTATTAAAATTTTATATTTGAATTACCCTCTTTAGGTACAGTGTTATACGATGGTGAAGCAAAAAGGAACTATTGACAATTTTTTTCAAAAAAAATGATGTGCCTTCTGCGGCTTCCGCCTCTAATGTTGATGTTTTGGTTCATGATAACCAGCGTTCTCCAAAATCTCTAAGAGTTGAACATACAAAAGTTTATCCTACCTTTTTAGAACGTGATCCGCGATTACGTCATCAAAAATGGGATTATCCTGTTGACGAACGTGATGAAGTTCGACGAGCTTATATCAAAGCGAAACCATACCAAATTGTGTTTTCAGTATATCCGCTTTCTGGATCGGAAAAACATCGTCATTGATTTCAATCATCTTGGTTTAAATTATTTCCTACCTACTTAGAGTATTCTCCTTCAAAGGATGCTGCATATTGCTTACCTTGCTTTCTTTTTGGAGCGAAACCAATGGGGCGTCCCGGAACCAATGCATTTACTAGTCAAGGATTTCAAAGTTAGAAGAAAGTTAATGATGGCAATAGGTGTGCTTTTTTAAATCATGTGGGAGGAAGTCTATGTTCTGCTCATAGCATTGTTGAGAGAGAATGTAAAGACTTAAGAAATCAACCTTGTCATATTGATAAAGTGATTGTTAGACAAACTTCCGAACAAGTTTTAAATAATCGATTGAGATTGAAGGTCACAATTGATGCGGTCCGATGGCTTACTTATCAAGCTTGTGCTTTTAGAGGGCATGACGAATCCCTTTAATCAAGTAATCGAGGCAATTTCATTGAAATGGTAAAGGCTTTTGCGTCATATAATGATGATGTTGCTAGAATTGTTTTTGAAAATGCTCCAATAAATGCCAAGTATACCTCGCCACAAATTCAAAAGGAGATTGTGTATATTCTTTCTAGAAAAGTGAGAAGTAAGATTCGGGAAGATATCGGCGATGTCAAGTTTTGTATTCTTGTTGATGAAGCTCGTGATGAATCTAAAAGAGAGCAAATGGCTCTTGTTTTAAGATACGTTGATAAAGATGGTTTTTTACAAGAATATTTATTTGATCTTGTGCATGTCAAAGATACAACTTCATTGAATTTAAAAAAGGATCTTTGTGCAGTTTTTTCTCATTATAATCTTGATGTTCACAATCTCCGAGGTCAATGTTATAATGGTGCTAACAATATGCGTGGTGAATGGAATGGTTTGCAAGCATTATTTCTTAATGATTGTCTTTATGCATATTATGTGCATTGCTTAGCTCATTGACTATAACTACCATTAGTTGCCGCATCTAGGGAAGTAATCGTTGTCCATCAATTCTTTTCAAACTTGAACTTCATTATCAATAACATCGGAGCTTCTTGCAAACGAACTGATGAATTACATTCTGCTCAAGTTATGGAAATTGCCCATTTGATAGATCTTGATGAACTTGAAACTGGCCGAGGAGCTAATCAGATTGGTAACTTGCAATGACCTGGAGATACTCATTGGAACTCCCATTTTGATTCTGTTTGTAGTTTGATAAGGTTATTTGGTCTAACACATTCAGTTCTTAACAACCTCATTGAAGATGGATGTAATTACAAGATTCGGGGAGATGCTGATATTGCTTTTAATACTCTTAGATTATTTCAGTTTGTGTTTATTTTGCATTTGATAAAAGATATTATGGGAATAACTAATATCCTTTGTCAAGCTTTGCAACAAAAAGATCAAGACATCGTAAATGCTATGCAATTGGTTTCAAGTACAAAACAAATCATTCTAAAATTGAGAGAAAATGGTTGGAACAACTTACTTGATATTGTTAAATCATTTTGTGAGTGCCACAACATTGATGTACCTGATTTGAGTGTTCCCTATACCAAAAAAATTAAGGGTCAGTCACGTCACCCACAAGAGAATATTACACTTAAGCACCACTATCGGATTGATATATTTTATGGCACAATTGATTTACAATTGCAGAAGTTGAATAACAGATTTAGTGAAAAGGCAAATGAAACTTATTACTCTCAGCTCAACTTTGGATCCTAGAGATGGTTACAAGTTCTTTAATGTTGAAGACATTTGCACGCTTGTAGATGAATTTTATCCTCAAGATTTCACAAACCAAGAGAGTATTATGTTAGCATTCCAATTGCAACATTATGAGGTTGTAATGCCTGTTCATTCATATTTGAAAAATATGCCAATGATTTCTAAACTATGTAGAGGATTACCGAAAACAAAGAAGTCAAAAATCTACTTTTTGATTGATAGGTTGATTCGTCTTGTCTTGACTCTTCCCGTTTCCACGGCAACTACAGAAAGGGCATTTTCAACTATTAAACTTATCAAAACATAACTGCGCAACAAGATGGAGGATGACTTTCTTGCAGATTACTTGAGTGTCAGTATTGAAAAAGAAATTGCTCAGACTTTTAGTATAGATTCAATTATAGATGATTTTTCTTCTCTAAAAGATCGTCAAGCTCAGCTTTTGTAGTAGTTGTTTGGTCTTTCAGGTTTCTTTTTGCATTTATCTATGTCATATTTGACTAGATATAGGCCAATTATTGTTTTATAAACAAATTGGCTAAATATATTTTTGTATGCATCTAATCGATCATGAAGTACTTTTGACTTAAAATATTATTATATTATATTAGTAAAGTTGTTAATACTACACCCCCCCCCCCCTTACATTGAATCCTAGCTCCGCCCCTGAGAACAGGTTGTTAAGAGAACCCACACACTTTAGCTCTAGCATTTTCCTAAATAATTAAATCAAGAATGCAACACCACACAACAATAACGATAAAAATAAAAAATAAAAAAATACTTCATTTTCAATTTAATAATGTTGTCATGTTTCAACTTAATATAATATGTTATACAATGAGTTTTGCATCCTTGAAATAAACATGTTGCATAGTGTGTGCATTCGACTCAAACTCACAATGTCAACATTTCCCTGTTATTTTATAGGTTTTCCACAAAACAAAATTACTAGCCTAAAAATGCACAAGTACAGCAAAGTTATATGCCTATGTGATATTGCACTAGTATTGAAAATGTGGGAGAGCTATTTTTATAATTGCAGAAGCAAGGCTGAAGCTGACTGGGTACAAAAATAATAAGGGATTTACACTCATCATAAGAGTGCATACTAATGAACATAAGCAAAGATACATACATATATATCTATATAACACCTCTGAAGTATACCTTTCATAGCACTTTTATCCCTATTTAAAAAGTGTGCAAAAAAACCCCTATTTTTTTTAATTTGTGCGAAAACACCCCTCAATAAATATAATACCCATTTTACTCTTCCAAAAATGCCCCTACCAAACCTTTCTTCTTCTTCTTCTTCTGTGTGTGTGTGTAGAGGAAGACATCTAAGTCTCTCAAACCACCAATGGCTAGTAAGGATTAAAAGCCTTCAATTAGAAATAACATGCAATAGAACAAAATTAAGTGAATCAGATAATTAAATTAAGGGTAAAGTACAACCACACCCTCTGAGGTTTGGCAAAAGGACACTAAGAGGAAACTTACCTCTTTTTTGGACAAAGACACCCCTTGAAAGTTCAAAAATGGACAAAGACACCCCTTTACATGAGAAATTGACCAAATTACACTTTAACCATTCAGAAGACTTTTTTAACTTTACTATTTAATAAATTGGACCAATCTACCCTCATGAATAATTTATGCATAAAAAAAAGTTAAAAATTAACCACATTCTTAGTTCTTCCCCCACTCTCTCGGCGTTCACTGCCCTGCCGCAGCGCCACCACCACCACCCTCTTCCCCTCTATTTCTATATATATATATATATATATATACACACGGCGTTCACTGCGCCACCACTACTACCCATCTTCCCCTCTCTCCACGTATATATATGTATATACAGGCAATGTTCACTCTACAGCCGCCACCACCACCACCCATCTTCCCTTACACCACCACCACCCATTTTCCCTCCACCACCATCGATCTAAAACTACCGATGGTGTACAAAGATGAGAATCGAGAATCAGAGGAAAAATCCCCTGATACCATTTGTAACGACCCACTTCATCACATGGTATGATATTGTCCGCTTTGGGTCTAAGCCCGTACGGTTTTGCTCCTGGGCTTTACCCCAAAAGGCCTCATACCAATTGGAGTGACACATTTACATATCAACACTTCACCTTTCCCTTTCCCAGGCAATGTAAGACTTTGCACCTGTAGCTCACCAGTGTGGTAGCCTAACAGTGTCTCTCGCACCCGTCCACGGCACACTAGCCCACAGGGTCATCACAACTGTGAGGGGCTAAATGGAGACGCATCTGACGTGATGCTCAAAGTCATTGAAGCCGTTGATGATGTGGTCGGACTGGGCTTGGGCAACTGGGCGGGGTGGCCGGATTTACAAGTGTTGTGGACGATGAGCATGGCAGAGGCGTGGTCAGTGAGTTCGATGAGGTGGAGGAAGTAGATGAAAATTAGGGATTTTTTAGTGGGGTGAGAGGCATTGATGAGGTTAATGATGGTGGGGACGTTTTGAGAGGCTTTAGTGAACTGAACCACAAGGTCCGAGCAACGGTGACTTCTACAATGGAGACCGAACTCCGGCGAAGCACCCATCAACGCATGATGATGATCTGAATGCGGATCGAAGCCTGATTGTGTTGGTTCTTCAATCTCTTCCCTCTCATATTCGCCAGAGATGATAGGTAAGCTTATGGGTCTTGAGAACTGTTCATGCTTCGGGTTCATCGGTCTGAATTAGGCTTCGCCAGATTTGGGGCTCGCTCGACAAAACTGGGTCGTCTAATTGGTGGAATAGGTGGTGGGTAAGGTAACGAGGACAGAACTGATGCCGGTTCACAGTGGAGTGACTGGCGAAGTAGTGGGTGACGGCTGGTGTATCGGTGGGTGACGGGCTCGGCTGCGGCGGCTCAGATGGTGGAGAGCTCGGTTGTGGCCGGTGAGCAAGAGGGATTCGAACGGCGGCCGAAGAGCAAGAAAAGACACAACTATCTCCATTAATACCGGCGAGCTTCATACTATAGCAACAGTTCACCAACCACTACTCACCATTGCCTTCAATTTCACCCACCACCACTCACCATTGCCCTCGATTTCACCCACCACAACTCTCACCACTGCCTTCAATTTCACCCACTCACCACTGCTCTCAGCAAGAACTTCATACTACAACCGCCACCACCCTTATTGACGTCGCCACACCTAATTCCCAAACCTCTGCCTGCCACCTAATTGAAGACAACCCAAGAAAAAACTCACCCCTTCGATTTCACCCACTACCACTCACCACCGCCTTCGATTTCACCCACCACCATAGTTCAGGGTTTTTTTTATTTTTATTTTTTATTTTTTATTTTTTATGCATAAATTGTTCATAAGGGTAGATTTGTCCAATTTATTAAATTATAAAGTTAAAAAAGTCTCCTAAATGGTCAAAGGGTAATTTGGTCAATTTCTCATGTAAAAGGGTGTCTTTGTCCATTTTTTTAACCTTCAAGGGGTGTCTTTGTCTAAAAAACAGGTAAGTTTCCTCTAAGTGTCCTGTTGCCAAACCTCAGGGGATGTGGCTGTACTTTACCCATAAATTTAATTATTTTTAGACAAATAACAAAACAGATAGAGTCAATACATTGCACTTATAGATCAAACAACAATGTATGAAGAGAAGAGAGAGAAAGAGAGAATAAGCTTTTGAGATCAAAACTCTAAAAACTTTGCTGTAAAAACACAATAAGTGAAGCCGACTTTTTATTCAATTATTTCTGGAAGACCATCTAACGCTTTCTACCTTCTTGTGTTAATATCTTATTCACCAATTGAAGGAGTATAAGCAATGGGAATTACACACAGATCTCTTTTCTTGCTAATTGCTGCACCACAGGCCTCAGTCATGTCTAGATCTTCTTGCTTCTCTCCCTCGGGTAGTTTCCAGTCAAAGTGATACAATAAATTTGCAAGTGGAAGCACAACACTAGCTATCCCAAATGACATGCCAGGACAGACTCTCCTTCCAGCACCAAATGGTAGATATTGAAAATGAGTCCCCTTGTAATCAATTGAACTGTCAAGAAATCTCTCTGGAACAAAACTCTCTGGATCACTCCAATTTTTAGGATCTCTACTAATTGCCCATGAATTGACAAGGACTTGGGTTTTCGCAGGTATCTCATATCCATTGATTTCACATCTCTCCCTGCTCTCTCTTGGAACTAAAAAAGGGAGAGGAGTGTGTAATCTCAGAGTTTCTTTGATAACTAACTTTAAGTAACTCAATTCATGAAGGTCATCTTCATTTAGGATATTTCCTTTCTGACATAAAACATGTCTCACCTCAGCTTGTGCCTTCTCCATCACTCTTGGGTTTTTCAACAATTCTGACATTGCCCAGATTAAAGTTGTAGCTGATGTCTCAATCCCTCCACTGAACATGTCCTGAAAGAGCATTAAAATTGAGTTAGAAGAAAAGAAATATGCAAGCATTACATATTGAATGCTTAATTGATTGATATTGATAGAAGCATAAAGCAATTAAATGTACTAACCAAGATAACTGACTGTATGTTTGTCATAGTTAAAGGGATCTCAAGGTTACCCTCCTCCTGAACTTTTAGAAGAACATCTACGAGGTCTTCATGATCAGCTTCACCATCACTGGTCTGTTTTGCCATCTGCCTAGCTTTATGTTCCTCAATGACGGTAGTTAATATCATATCAAGTTTTCGATGAACTTTCTTAGCTCTAGGCCTCAGCCCAGTTATCACAGCAAGCATTTTAATCGAGGGGAAGAGATCAGCAAAAGTCAATCCTGCTGCTATCTCTAAGGCTTCCCTGATAAGAGAGATGAATTCTTCTTGCCCATGGAATTTCTTACCAAGGGCCGCTGTTGCAGTGATGCTGTATGTAATCGAGAAAAGCTTTTCACTTAAATTGATGAGAGATCCTGTATTTGTCGAAATAGATTTGATCAAATTCGAGGTCTCTTCTTCCCTGATGGGTCGGAATGATTGGAC